TCAGCAGGTAGAAAAATATATCATCATAATATAATAGGACCAAAATAACTCGTGAATGGCCGGGAAAAATGAAACCTATTGAATCGACATGCATCTCTTGAATTGATTTCTGTCTCTACAATTTTATTAAAGCCATTGATGAGTTTTTATTTAGTGCTTGATTGATATTTCCGTTGAAACACAAGTTAACGTAAGTTTGAGTTCATATGATTCTATTTTATTTTTTTTTATCTCGTATCATGTTAACTCAAACTAACGTTAGAAGGCTTTCTCAAAGCGACACGTGGCAACATGCCATCAACGGCTACTAGCGGAAACACTCAAGTTGCAAAAAACCAGCGGCAACCGAAGTGGATTATTTATAACGTGGAGCTAGAAAGAAGGAAGATTCAGTTACTCTTTGATCCTCTTCGCGAACCCTAGTAATCCTTCTCCTTCTCTTTCTCTTTCTCTTTCTCTTCCTTCATATTCGCGCCAACGCAACCGAACATGGCGCACTTCACTTTCAATCTCCTCCACTACTTCGAACCCAAGAGGTATGCACCCATGCGTCTTTACACATTATATATTCATCACAGTTTTCCACGCGTCCTCCAACCCTAATTTCTCGCTACTTCTTCGATCCGTTTTGGAACGTTTCTTCGTAGCAGTTACTTACTGTTCATGCCAGCTGAGAAACAGCGTTTTGTCGACTCGGTTTTATCCCGGTCATAAATTCGGAACACGATTGCTGAAATTTCCTTAGTCACTACTAGTTCGTTTTAGGATCAGTGTAATGTAATGTAATGTAATGTAATGTAATGAGCGTAGTTGGATGTTGAGTCTGAAATGTGGTGGTAGCGTTAGCACTTTTGGTTTGGTTTTCAGAGCGAAAGCTATGGGCTGTAGAACTGTACCTGTTCTTAAAGTATGTTGTTGTCCTTATTGAGTAAGCGCTCATTGGAGGTTGATTCCAGGTAGCGTATGTGGTAGAGTTAGAATCATGCATGCGTTATGTGTGAATTCGATGTAGGACTGTACTTCGATTTGTTCATTTATGTATTTACGTCTATATCTGGTTTTGGAAGGAAATAGGTAGTTCTCTATTCCTTTTTTGTTTTCTTTCTCACCATCAGAGCAATAATTCCTTGTTTTGTTTACAGGGATTCTTATGGATTTGCATTAAGGCCTCAATACGCTCAAAGATACAAGGAGTATTCTTACATCTACAGGGTATTTATTATACTTGAGTTTTGATTTCATGTTTCTGCTGATCCAGGATTAATATTTCAATCCCATATTCGACTACACATGCACAAAATAATTTTTTTTTTTGGATATAAATGTACCATTTTCCTATGATCAGTGTAATTAAATAGCAGCACTTTAAGGTCCATCATTATTCAAAGGACATAGTTGCTTTATAGGGTAAATGATGAAAGGAGACTCCCCCATCCCCACAAGAGCAAGAATGAAAAACCTTTGGCCGTGACTGATGATTTTTGTGCTAATCATCTGATAATTAGTGCTCCCTCCATTTCAAATTATCATTGTACAAAGTATCAGCCACATCTTTAGAAAATTATTAATTGCACTAATTACTTTGACATGATAGTCTTTTTGAACTAAAATACCCTTATTAAAAGAGTTAGACTGTATTAGCAAATTAGTAGTAATTAAGTGTTTAGACGAGAAATCAATAAATAAGGATATAATTGTAAAAATGTAATCAGTGCTTTCTTGATTTTCTAAAGCACTACCTCGATTCCTTTATATAAGACCCATTTACCTAATTCACCAAGATTAAAAAAAATAATTAATTTAGTTTATAATAATAAATATGTCCTATTTAGACATTTTCTTCTAAAACTACCCTTATACTACTCCTCTTTCCTAATTAATATTCATACATCTAATGAATGTGTATGCCTTATACTATTTATTTCTCTTAATTAATACTGACATTTCTTTTAACCAATTAAAGTGCATATTTTTAAAGAGTTTATAATTAATGTATTTTACCAAATTAAGAAAACACACTTTAATTAAGGATATTTTAGTCTAAAAATAATTAATATATGAGAGAATATGAATTGGATTTTATATAAAGGAACAAGCAATTGTTCTGAGTTATGTCTTATAAATAGGAACGGAGGTAGTAATAAATATTTTGAAATAAACTAAAACTCTTGTAGTGACAGAGGGAATAGTGTGCAGCCATATGATTAGACATGGTCAGCCCAGTACATGAGACTCCAACTTAGTGGGGTGGGGGAGGGTAGATGTGTACATACATGGCTTTACCTCCACAAACAGAGAGGCTGTTTCCTGTATTTGAACCATGACCTCTAGACTACAGGGAAACAACCTCACTGCTGTGATAAGGCTCATCCTGTAATAATTGCCTAGATGCTCCTTGTGCAACATGGCATTAACAACCTCACATTTTCACTGCTGAGAACTGATTTTAAACAATAAGTAGCACGAGTTCAATGTAATTATCATCCTTAAACTGATATATTCATTATATTAGGAGGAGGAAGATGAGAGATCAGATAAATGGAGTGACTTCCTTGAACAATTAGGCGAATCATCTCAACCAACTTTTGAGAATGAACATGAAGTAACATTGAATGCTGAACCCGGAAGTAACAAGGTAAAAGAAGAGAGAAATCCACATAGGCTAAGTAATGGGGATGATTCAAGTAGGAGGAATTTTTCTGATTTAGAAGAAGAGACTAATGTTGTCAGGGTTAGTGAAGTATTAGAGAAAGGTGACTCGAGTGACAGGACGACATCTGGAGGTACTGAGATAAAAGAGGGTACTAGTCCAGAGAGGGTTAGTGAGGGGGATGATTCAAGTGGCAGGAATTTTACTTCTGATAGTACAACAGGAAATAACTCTGGAAAGGATCTGCACCATTCAGAAGACAGAAAGACTCGTAAGGTTCAACACTGGGCTGAAATTAGGCCATCTCTTACAGCCATTGAAGAAACATTGAGTTCTCGTGTAAAAAAGAGGAAAACAATGCAAGGTGCACAAATAAATGGTAATAACGATCATCTTCCATCTATAGAAGAATCTGAACCTGTAGATGATGGTATCAGTGGCTCAAGGGCAGAAAATGCTTTTGTAGATCAAGACTTGCCTGAACATTTCTCGCGATGGAAAGAACTGGAATCCCTTGTTCAAGGAGGTGTCCCAAAGGATCTTAGAGGAGAGGTAAAGTTGTTCTAATTCACTTAAGTTCCTAGTTTTGTTGGGGGAAAAAATACTGCAACCTTCCCTACACTACAATATTGTTGTTACAGGTCTGGCAAGCCTTTGTAGGTGTGAAGACACGGCGGGTGGAAAGTTATTACGAGGATCTGTTAGCTCGTGATGAAAGTGAAGAACAAGATGTCCCATCTGCTGCTTTTGGGAAATGGAAAAAGCAGATTGAGAAGGTCATTAGCTGCATGCGCCTTGGACTTTATTTTGATTTGTACGTGCTGCATCTTTTGCTTTATATTGCATACTGGCTTTCTCCTTAGACTAAACCATAATTTTCATTCTCAGGACTTACCACGAACTTTCCCAGGTCACCCTGCTTTGGATGAAAATGGCAGAAATTCCTTGAGGCGTTTACTCCTAGCATATGCCCGGTATAACCCCACTGTTGGGTACTGTCAGGTATTTGGAGTTCAAAAGAATCTTTCTTGGTAAATATTACTATTGCTTCCTAATATTCAGGCTTCATCAGACTTCTTATTAAATTCTAATGATCATTTATTGATTTATTAACTTATGGCTGGATCTCTAACATTGTTCTGGTTTTCTCACATACTTTTCCTATTAAATTCTAATGATCATTAATTGATTTAGATCTTTTTCGTTCACTTTTAGTAGAAGCTTTAATATATTAATGCATTCCTGTATGTGTGTGTGTGTATGTATCTCGAGAGTTTCAAGGTTCCTGCTTCATGTCAGTACCTCCTTCTAACGTAAATGTATGTTTGCTAGATATTGAATGTTTAAAGCTGTAAGCACAAGTCAATAGAAAGATTCTCTATGTCCTGTGCCATATGAGGTGTAATATACTGACCATAGATTGTTGATCATGCATTCCCATAGTTGTTGCTTTTCTTTTTTGGGTGCTTGTTGTGTTGATGGTATATAACAATTTCTTCACTGGTGTTAATGTTAATCTTCACTTTTGTAATCATCATCATTATCATATTCTTTGTGATTAAATTTTGTTATTATAATAATATATGCAGGCAATGAATTTCTTTGCTGGTTTATTGCTACTTCTTATGCCAGAAGAAAATGCCTTTTGGTAGGTTTGGGATGCTTGTCTTGTTTAATTGCAGATGTATGTGGATTGATTTGTGAAATATGTGGGTTGAATGGGTTTGCAGAGCAACCGTTTAACAAAAACCATTCACCAGCATGTGTGTGCGTATGTTTTTTACTTAAGATAATAATTTGGTGCTGACCCACAGACCATTTGGTCCAACCTAAAAATCTAGTATTTTGAGATGAAAAAAAAAATATATTTTTAGGTATGTGCACTGGTCTGTTTAATTGGGGGCTTGTTAAATGCAAGCCCATTTAAATGTGGGCCAATACTAGTTGGTCTGCTTAACTGCTGGCTTAAGTGAACCAGTGTAGATCTGTCCAGACTGGTCCACATATACTTTCACCAATTTTTTCTTTTGGTAACTGATTATTAGGTAAACTCAATCTTTAAAAAATGCTGTCTGTTTAAAAAATTTCAGTTTATGTTATCTAATGTTTTATTGGGATATCTCAGGGCATTTGTTGGCATTATTGATGATTATTTTGAAGGCTATTATACTGAGGATATGATAGAATCCCAAGTAATGATCATTTTTCTGTTACTTTTTTTTTTAAAAAAAGGGAAACATTCTTTATCCTGTTTCCTGAGTCACGTCTAGTTGATAATTGTAATATTGAGGTACTTGTAATTCTCTTTGCCATTCATGGAAGCTTATAATGTGTCAGGTGGACCAGCTTATTTTTGAGGAATTGGTGCGTGAAAGATTTCCTAAACTGGGTTTGTATTTATTATCTTTGCTCTTGAGTAATCTTCTTGTAATTGTCTTTATGAATCAGTTTGGATATTTTTTTTATTCTACTGATGCTTTTGGTGCAGTTAATCATCTGGATTACTTGGGAGTGCAGGTGGCATGGATATCTGGACCATGGTTTCTATCAATCTTTGTAAACATAATTCCTTGGGAAAGCGGTGAGATTTATGTTGAGTGAATCCTTTTTTTTTTGTCTTTTAATATTACAGCATTGGTTTTGAATTTTGTATATTCTTAAATATGGAATCTTATGCTGTGTTTCTCCATCTTAGTTCTTCGAGTTTGGGATGTGCTACTTTTTCAAGGGAACCGTGTTATGCTATTTCGAACAGCACTCACACTAATGGAATTATATGGTATTTAATTTTTCTTTCCTGTGTTTATGAGTGATCTGTAAAAACTAGCTTGTCTAAAGTGTAAATTAAATTAAATTATTGTTATATCTTCTTTAAAGTAACACATTTTTTCATCTCTATTCTAGGTCCTGCATTAATTACAACAAAAGATGCAGGTGATGCAATTACACTGTTGCAATCACTTACTGGCTCAACATTTGATAGCAGCCAGCTTGTCTTTACTGCTTGTATGGGTTATCTAAATGTGACTGAGGCCAGATTAAGGGAACTGAGAGAAAAACACCTGCCATCTGTATTAGGTGTCATTGAAGAAAGATCAAAGAAGGGACGAGTATGGAAGGACTCCAAAGGGCTTGCAACTAAACTGTACAGTTTCAAGCATGACAGAGGATCACTGGTAGAGGAAAGAAAAGGCACTGAAGGAAGTGATACAGTAGCTGATGGGAATGTGCAGTTGGAGTCCCATTCCTCTAATTTCGATGAACTGCTCAATAGCCTCAATGTTGATTCAGAATTGGATGCCCTACCAGATCTCCAGGATCAGGTTGCTTCCTCTGCAGTCTACACCACATCATTCACTTACCTCTTCCATCCCCTCACCTCCCACTCCCAAATGCCTATTTTTGTGAAGTAGATTGAAATTTAATGATCATTAAACTCAATTTGACTTATAAATTTGCCTTAGTATACTACTGGTTGTTGTTAATTTGTTATCCATTCCATGTCTTAGTTGGCATGAGTGGATGTTGCAAGTCTAGATGCAAAACTCATTGATTATAATCTATTGTGTTCTGCCTGTGTTGGTTGGCTGTGTATGACACTAGACTTACCAATGCTTCAACCACAACTTCGTCAGTTAAATTATACATTCTCAATGGCTGATAAAATTAAAATAGTTAAATCAGTTCATGACATTTCATGGTCTAATTTCCTGGCTTAATTTTGGATTACAGTCATCTTAAGTATTTTGTCTATAAATAGTTACTCTATTATGACCAACTCTTGTGCAACTCCTTAAGTTTCAATCATTAACAGCTTCTGTGCAGGTGGTTTGGTTGAAGGTTGAGTTATGCAGATTGCTGGAGGAGAAAAGATCTGCCATACTCAGGTATTGTTTTATTGGTGTTCATATTCTAATATTATCTCTTTAGAAACAGTTTTTTCTTCTTCTTTAACTTTCTACTTATAAAAAAAATTGCAAGATTTCTAGAATATCATTGCATAAAGTGGAGCTGTAAATGTGGATATTGTAAATTATTTGTGTATCAGGTTGGAAATACCTGGAATTAAGGTATTTTATTTAGGAATCTGTCTAGGAAGTTATTTCTGATTAGAATACCCATGTAATATTGTTTTGAAATAATCAATGAGAACCATTCTATTCTCCCTTCACTGTGATTTTTCTCCTGGTGTCAGAGCTCTAGATTTTTCCTGCAACTGTTATCTGCTTCCTCACTTCAGTGGCCTTTATTGCTACAACTTCTCTTATTTTAGCAAGCCTTCATTGTTTCCTATTTCCTTTTGTGGCCTTCATTGCTGCTACAACTCTCATATCTTTAGTGACTCAGCCTTCATCATTGTCACTGTTTATTCCGTTATTGTTCAGAACCTATCTTCATCATGTTAGGATCTGAATCTGAGACTCATATCAAACAATTCAAATCCAACTGAGGATTTTAAATGTGTGGGGATCTTCTAAGTATTCAAACCTCTTATAGGTTCAGAGGAAAATACTATCACAAATGGTGATGGGAACTAAGATTCAAGTTAGTTCCATTAATTGATTGGGGGTAGTTAATTATTTAAGTATATCCGATAGAAAATTACTGGTTTTGTAATAGCAAATCTATTAGAAAACATTTCTGTATTAGAAACTGCAAGAAGACAGTTATGTGTAGAAAATAACTGTCGGTAGTTATCTATTAGGACTTTAGGAGTATGGATTTGATAGTAGGTTGTGCAATTACTGATTAGGCAGTGAAGTTATTACAGTTTCCATTTTAACATAGATATACAATAATACACTCTCTGGGACAGCAATGCAAGTATATTGTTGTCTTGTGTGTGGTTTCAATGTTCAATATTTATATTTTACGTGCCTCACTGAAAAATAATATAATAAAGTAAAATGAATTGATGGTTATTATATTCCCTCATTTTTTTTTCATGCATGAATAAAAAATTATTATTTTTACTAGTGGGATCAAAGTACTTTTATGTCTATATTTTATTCAATAAAAGTGTTTAAGAATTACTAATGTTTTTTTAGATGATCTCAAATCTCAAGGTTTTGAGCTCGAGTCTTGTCTTTATAAGAGTGGTTATTTTTTAATATTTAAAACTTTACAGGTAAAATTGTCTAAAAAAATGCGTATACTAAATCAGGCTATCACCTTTATATATAACATGTTATAGATGAGTAGTTACATTTCAATTCTAGAGTAAAATGAAAAATTTATATATATATATATATATATATAAGGGGCAAAAAAGATCTATGTTAAAATGGAAAGCAAAAGGCGGTTATCAAAGGGGCATTCCCGTTATCTATTGGTGTTCTATCAAAAGGTCCCATGTGTGCACCTACCTCAAGGGCAACAGACTCTCAGTCATCTACTTGAGAAGTACTGTGTTCACAAGGAGGATTTCAAGATCATGTCCTAGTTATGGGAATCCATGGACCCAACAATTATTGACACTTACATGTTTCATGATGGAGGCATTCTGATAAGGATATTTGGGTCTTCATCAGCCACACATTCTATAGTTGATGCTGCTGCCCAAATTTACCAGGGGCCCCTGCCACTAAGCAAGGGACAAAGTAAGCAAGTCCTCTATAAAACCTATTGCGAGTAGCCAATAACTTGAACATTATTAAGTCTTTGAAATGAAGACCTTTTAAAGAGCTTCATTGAAAAGGACAGAGTGGTGACTTCTTATCTGGACTGAACCCTGAATTTGATCAGGTTAGAATTTAAATTGTTGGAGAAAAGGACACACCTTTCTTAGAAGAGGCTATATACATATAGTCTAAGCAAAAGAGAGCATGTAAAAGATGTCTTCGGAAAACTTACTAGCACTAATCAGCTTTTCTGTGATAGAAGGAACATGTAAAAGATGTTTAAAGACAATAGAAAATGCAGGATTAAAAGAGGAGTCTGAAATTGAGAGAAGCCAACTGAGGTGATATGCAAACCTTGACCATTTCCAATTTGTATTTGATCTGGACCTTCAAATGGAGTAAGTTGTTGAATATTCTATGTCAGGAGTTACGTGAAATGAAGCTCTTGAATCCAGATACCATAGGCCCTGAAAGGTAGGAACAACATTAGTAACTATCTTATATTAGTAGGTTTGAGCCTAAGTCAACCTTAAAAAATTGGTTTATAAGGAAAGGATTGTTTCTCACTTATATACACTTTATTGGGCTTATCACTAGTTGATATGGGATTTGGATTTTTTCCAATATACCTTTTCACATCCATCACTATTGGATTAGGTACGTGGATAAATGGTAAGTAGTCATTTTTAATGATTTAGGATAGGCAAGATTTTTGGATTTTTCCCAATACACTATTTTCTCATGTTCAATACTATTAAGTTCGGTGTATGTATAAATGATGGGTGACCTTTTTGATTAGGGATGGCAATGAGGTAGGACAAGGTAGGTAGTGGTCTCCCGTCACCTGCCCCGTTTAGTGCAAGTATCCATAAATTTTTTTTACATATCCACGAGTATCCACGAGGATCTATGGATATTTGATAAAAATGTAAAGTTTTGAATCAAAAGGTAAGAAATAAATAAAACTAAAAATAAATAGTTTTAAAATCATCAACGTAGTGCAGTTAGGTTCATGCTTAGCCCTATTTACTCTTCTATCTCTTCCAATAAAGCATTTCAAAGTCTATTCATGAGAAAGTCTTTCTAGAATTACCAATGATCATGTTCAAATCAAGCCGAAAAAAGTGGGTTTGGAAGTAGTTCTTATAGAGTTGCTGGGAAAATGTGTGTATATTACCACACATGTAATCCTCTCTTTATAATGAATAAGGATACAAAATATGGAAATATAGAATAACGGGTAATAATGAGTAGAGCCCCTAATTTTCGCTATACAAATTTCCCTAATTACAAAGGAATAAATCATATCAAATTATATATTTAATCGTTCTCAACCAACAATATAGAGATTAACCTAGAACCATACTTAATGCCACATTGTCGACCCATTTGTGAAATATACTTTATTTTGTACAGTGACTTTATATTCCAGTTAGGTCGTCATGCTTGCAACCCAAACCACTGATAAATCTTAATAATTCATTGCCTTTGGCACTTTTTATGTCTTATTTTATCTTTCCCTCTTCATTCCTGCTATTTTGTTAATATGATAACTTTAAATATACAGTAATGATAGCTTGTGATGATATCTTATGAAGAAAATTAATTCATTTCCATGTGTGTTTGCAACCTTGAACAGAGCAGAGGAGCTAGAAACAGCTTTTATGGAGATGGTGAAGGAAGATAATCGTCTTGAATTGAGTGCAAGGGTATATCCAACATTTGGATAATTTGTCTTCTTGTGTGACCTTTCATATTTTTAGTATTTTATTGAGGTTTATTGAGGGTATCCATGTTTATTAAATGTGTAAAAAAATTATTTCTTCCTGGTTTTAATATATGTGTGTGTGGAGCATATAAAATGAGACCATTTTTAATTTTTTACTATGATGGAGCGAGAGGAATGAAGATTGGTCATTGGATCAAATCACGAAATGTTAAGATTAAAAGTTGCGTATGTGACTTTTTTAAATGGTCAAGTGATTGGTAAATAACTTTAATCTTAACTATTCATGTATTGTCTAGATTTACTCATTGCAATCTCTCACACAAACACTATTCTCACTTTATGCAAACTTTGAAAACTATTTGATATTTCTTTATATAAATTCAAATTAACATTTATTCATATACTGTGAATTATTGAGTTGAGGAACTTATACTTAATGTCTTGTTCTTCAAAGATCCTTTCCCACCAGCAACCACCTATATTTTTTTGGTGGATTAATTACTCATTTGGTCCTTATACCTACACAATCTTTACTTTTTAGTCCCTTCTCCTAAAAACTACTAATTTTAGTCCCTACATATAAAATTTTTAATCTGTTTTAGCCCCTGCCATCCAAAATTGTTGGGACTAAAGTGAATTAAAACATGTATGTATAAGGACTAAAACAAGTTAAAAAGTGTATGTATAGGGACTAAAATGAATAGTTTCTAGGTATATAGAATAAAACATAAAGATTGTGCAGGTATAGGTACCAAATGAGTAATAAACCTTTGTTTTGGTTATATCTCGGAGACACTGTTATACTAATATGATGCCTGAGGCATCTTTTAGTATAAATAATATAAATAAGCTTGATCTAAATATCATTTAAATCAGTAAAGATAACTTTTTTTCCTAACCCCATAGAAGACAAATACTAGGAAAGCTTGTTTAGTATCCATGTACAATTATGTTTATCATTTCTTTTTCTCTACATACTCTTTTTTTTCTTCTGGTGATTGGCTTGTGAGGTTTACAAAAGTGTTTATGATCATGCAGGTTGAGCAATTGGAGAAGGAGGTAGCTGAGTTACAACACATCATTGCTGATAAGAAAGAACAAGAAGCTGCCATGATGCAGGTTCTAGTGTGCACCTGTTTTCTCCAGTGTCTATTTCTGTAAGCTTATATGCAAAAATGAATAAGTAAATAGAGATCAAGAAGAATGTCTTTGTGTCATATAGATAACTTTGAAAATCTTCATGCTACAGGTCCTAATGCGACTAGAGCAGGACCAAAAAGTTACTGAAGAAGCTCGCAGAAGAGCAGAGCAAGATCTTGCCGCTCAGAAATTTGAAGTTCATGCGCTTCAGGTAGCCTCTCCCTCCCTCCTTATGATCATTGGGATATGCCATTTTGGTCATTTGCTTTTACACTGTTGAGTGAAATTTGTAAACAGAATCACGCTTAAAATATCATCTCAATGTTTTCCACAAAAATAATAAGATTTACAATGAAAACTTCATTCGTGAAACATGATGACAGTGAGAGAAAGTGTCCTTGTGGAAATTTGAATTTCAGAAAGAGGTATTATGTATTTAACATTTTTTTTAATGCTCAATAACTCAATATAGGTTTTGTAATTTGGATACTCCTCTATATGTTTCATGTGCTCTTTGTGGGCAATATCCCTTAGTGTTGTAGCCTGATAGAAAAGAATGCAAGCATGAGTAGTAGAGAAATAAAATAACTGATATACTCCAAATCTGTTGGTATAGCTTATATATTTACTTGTTCCTTTTTTCTTGGTATTGTTCATGGGAAAGAAAATATTCTTTGCTAGGTGGTTGTATTTAGCTCACAATGGGCTGTGGATGGAGGTTTTCTTTTTTTCTTTTCTTTTTGAGAAATACTGATTTTCTCCATCATCTTTGTTTTAATCTAAATACTCTCAGCATGTCCATGACATTGAAAAGCTTTGTAATAAGATGGGTAGATCTATTTCCCAGAGAGAAATAAGTAACCACACTGTGAATTATTAAGAATCTTACCAGACATGATTACATCTATTTTCAGTATAATAAATATGCAGGAAAAGTATGAGAAGGCCATGCAATCAGTTGCTGAGATGCAGAAGCGGGTTGTTATGGCAGAAAGTATGTTGGAGGCTACCCTTCAATATGAATCTGGTCAATCCAAAGCACTTTCTTCTCCTAGGTACAGATATTTTAGATATTACATATTGAATTCTGCATTCAACTATATCTTCTGTGTCCAAATTGTTTTAGTTATTTCCTAGTATAAATTATAATTTCCCTTTGCAAGTTCTTGGAACTTGATATCTCAAGACCGCTGTAATTTCATGTATGAATCACCAATTAAGCATTTTGTTAGACCTGCTTGAGAAGTTTGTTCACAAGCTTTCTGGTATAATGATTAGCAGTTCCCCCCTCCCCCCTTCTTTTTCCTTGATAGATAGTAGAATAGAACAACATTAGATAATAATTATCTTGGTTTAAAACTAGATGAAAACAGCAGCCTCTTTGAAGTACTCATATTACATTGCAAAACAAAGTTTAATACTTTTTGCGCTGTACTTAGTAAACTAATAAATTCAGTAAAAATTTAAATAATAAACCTAAATGGTTTTAAAGTTCCTTGTTGAAAAATAATGCAGCTGGGGCTTCAATGAAAGGCTTGAAGTCTCTAGGTAAACATCATTGTTTGCACTTCCCCGATGCTGAACCGGAAGTAACGGAAGTAACTCCAAAATAAAAATTATATTGAAAAATTAGCCATTCTTAATTTGATATTATTCTGGGAAACCTTCAAAAGTTCAAATATGATATTATAATATATAGGTTGTAAGCTTGATTTGAAGTTTTACAGAAGTTGTGGCCTCCAATGCTGGCTCACTTCCCCATAAATAATGTCTGTTCTGTCATCCCATTCCTTTGACTTCGACATTACAAGGTTTCCATGGATTTGTGGGGAAGGAATGCCATTACAAAGAACGTGTTGCATATGAGATATGCTAAATCCGTTTATTGTTGGAGACAACATTCTACTCTCAATTTTATTGGAGTTATTTTTGTAGGGCTGGTCGTGGACAAAGCCCAAGGTCAGACAACTCCCGGAAAATTGGTCTGCTAAGTTTTGGACTTGGCTGGCGTGACAAAAACAAGGTAAAATCTTCTCTGTCCTCTCCGTCTCCCAATTACTTGTATTCAAGCAGAGGACGTGTAATTTGGTTATTTACTGTTAAAGGTTGCTAAATCAAACTCTGGAGAATTCGCCATTGGTTGATATGCCAATCCAACTTACAATTCCTTGACATCAAAATTGAATTTTACTGCACAAGTTATCTTGGTGTTCACGGTTATTTGAACTCGTATCTACATGTTTTAAGGAAAAAAGTTGTCTATTTCTAGTTCGGGGTATCAATCTTTGGAGGTGTTCCTAAATTGTATAATATTTATCTGCTGATAGGAGCATATTATTCGTATAGTTTATCCTTTAGTTACAAATCCTATGAAACAGGGCAAACCGAATGCTGAGGAATCTAGCCAAAGTGTGCATAACAATGGCTCTCCAGGAAACGAATCAGATAATCAAGAATCAGATAGATAGAACATGCAGAGCTGTGCCACTGGAACCCTACCCGGTGCTCTCTTGTCTATTTAGAAATTCTTTACTGTTTCTGATTATCACTGCCCAATTTTTGATGTTAATTGTGTCGTAAAGTTAGGGGAGGAATCCAATGTAAGGAATGTTTTATATATTGATAGGTCAATTAGCTGTAGAAGGCACATTCTGTCTGACACTAACACTCGCTGGCAACATTTCTACGTTTGAAGTTAGGCACTTCTGTCTTTGGCACTAACACTAACAATCTTGCAAAAACTGTGTTGATCTGATTTGTTAATAAATTGAGGCTGCATTACCATGGATTAATGCATGCGAACACTTGCCTCCTTTAGCCACACATACGAATAGTTAAGACTAGAATATAAAATTGTGACTTTTAGTATTTAATCTCCGGCCTCCATTTATAGTTGTCAGTTGTCACCACTTTAAAGGATGAAGGATGAAGGATGAAGTGAATTGATAACCATTGATTACAAAATCAATTATTAAGAATGTAATAAAAGACATTCATATGTATAACTAAACAGTTGATCTTTGCAATTAATGGCTATAATATGAAGTGCAACCCTCTTTCTGTAGTTGAATCACAAAATTGCCAATTTTTAATAACACTGGATATATACATGCTAGTTACCGCGCTGGTCAACAAAATTGTTTTCTATGTATTTTAAGTATATTTTAACTTTAGTATGTTATATAATATGTATTTAAATGTAAAACTTTGAAAACGTCTTGGATTTTTGCAAGATTTAAAAAAAAATGTCACTATTAGATATGCAAGTTGTTTATAAAATTTATATAAGAGGCAAAGTGTTGCCATTGAAATGAGTGAGCATAAAATAACCGAGTACATAATGGTTATTTTATAAAACGTAACCAATGACTTATTATTCATTTGAGAAAATGGAATAGGGAGTAGGAACTGATGACGCTAGTGTAAAGTGATTGAGGAAAAAAATCGAGAATTGAATCACATTGTGACAACAATTAAAATGTTTGTTTTTAAAGAAAAAATAATGAAAATCGTGATTTCGTGCATGTTTAGGTAATCCTTACCTCTTCCAAAAGTACATTTGAAATAAAAGATACAAGAATATTCTTCTTTAAAAGCATGTTCAGCATTATTAATTCTCAAAGTCACAATTTGTGCTTCATTATGGATATATTATGTATAGATTAGTGTTAACAGACTAACACTTGAAAGGAATAATCATTGGTTCACTTGACTAAATTAGTATTTACTTAAACTTCTTTCCAACAAAATCCCATAAAGAAAATGAGTATTAGCTTCCATAATTAATTAATTATAAAACAGTAATTGAACCAGGTTTCACGTTAAATGGGTTTGGTTTAGGAATTTGGTCTCACGCACTTCGTTACCCATTTCATCATCCTGTTGTTTATTTATTGGGATGTGACAGAAGAGAGAATATAAAACAAAACATTTTCAAAAAACGAATTTGAATGTGACAATATCTATGTTCTTCGTGTACGATATCCTTACAAGAGTTAGTGCGTTCAATCTAATCTTTTAAGCGCTGTAATTTAAGGAAACTTAAAATCTATCAGCATTTTAAGAATATTACAACATTTAATCATAAGCGTGCATATGAAAATGCAATTATACTCGTGTTCGTATGGAGCTATGAAAATGTGTTCATGACCAATTGCGCGGCACAAAGCAGTATACAACTTACATTGAAAATCTGTACAAGACAACATAAGCTTCTAACAAGATGAAAGTAGGACATAACACATGATATATGCATACTTTCTTGGTTGAAAAAGCCAAATTTTATAGAGCTTGATAACTATACAAACAACCATGACAAAGAAGAATAGACGACTATAGAATGCTGGTACACCAGTAGAACCATTTTCAAGACAGAAGGAACCCGAATCATGAATCCAGCAATTTGCTTTTAAATATAAACCAAGGGTAAAGGAAGTAAATATACTATCTTGGCTCCAAATGGAAATAGGAGCAGTTCTGTGCACCAGAAGTAGAACAAAATTTTACAACATTTTAGCAACTATGCTCCAAAGAAAGAACACCACCATAAGACAACTGATATTAACATCTACAAATCTATATCTTGCAGTGTGTTGTAAGATGTTTGTAAGTTGCACCAAATATAGCTAACAAACATGAGCTCCATATCACTGTCCCCTCTTGGTTCTAGGAGGAGTACCAGGAGCAAGGCGAGAGCTTTGCACTGTCTGTGTATTGGGGTCATATTTTTGTGAAGCAAGGTAACTCAAAGCTGTGACAACATCAGCTATAACTGGACGCATATTGGCCTGCTCCTGAACACACATTGCCGCAACAGCAAGGGCCTGGTATAGCCCTCTTGGAGGATACTGACCCTGTAGCATTGGATCGGCCATTTGCGAAAACTTCCTTCTATCTTTGAACAAGGGTCTAGCCTGCAATTAAAGAGCAATCCATACCAAAGTTAATTCAATCAAGTAAGGAGCAAGGACAAGGTCATCTTATCAAATTTCAATATAACAACTGAATATGCTAAAGCCAGTCAAAGAGTTTAAGGGATTAGGATTTGCAACACATTTGAGTTCAAGCACTAGCTTCAGTATGACAGTAAAAGGACAATTTCATTTTATGAGGAGAATTTATTGAGAAGGGAATAAAGTAAAGAAGAGGAGGATAGAAGCCCTCCCAAAACAAAAGAAAAGACGAGAATTATCAGCTGAAAGGACTTTTGAATCACCATGACAGAAATTTCCTCTCAACAGAATTGACATTGTTACTTATATACCATGTTTTGTTACTTTTAATTAAGACATATATGAAAACTATCAACTATTTGAGTGAAAATGATTTCTTATCACAAATTCTCACTCAAGTCCAATTATGCACATAAAGTTTTCCAAGCATGGCTAATGCATATGGAAATACTTACCTCCCCTTATTTAATCACACCGCACTGACTATTTTTTGACTATTAATATGCAAATTAAGCTACCCAGATGTTATATTTGATGATTCATTATTCAATTTTCCTTCTTTAAAATCATCAGCCAGACCTATGAGATAACAGTCTGAATTTCTTACCCATGCAACAAGATTCTGCTCTCCTGCAGATTTTGAATTGTCAATCGCTTTCCTTCCAGTAATTATTTCCAGAAGAACAACACCAAAGCTATAAACATCTGATTTCAGAGTCAATTGACCAGTCATTGCATATTCTGGAGCACAATACCCATAGGTGCCCATAACCCTTGTTGATACATGGGTGTTTTCCCCCACCGGGCCAAGTTTAGCCAGACCAAAATCAGATAACTTTGGATGATATCCTTCCCCAAGCAAAATGTTGGAGCACTTTAAATCTCGATATATGACAGGAGGATTAGCTTTGTCATGTAGATATTCCAATCCCCTTGCTGCCCCAGCAGCTATTTTCATTCGTGTGTTCCAGTCAAGTCGTTTCTTGCCAGGAGAAATATCTGCATATCAAACATTTATTGCCAATATCTACTAGAAGACAATACATAAGGAATTGAAAAGAGATAACATGCAAGTTTGTAACATATATACCATGTAAGTGGTCTTCCAAGGATCCCAGTGACATATATTCATAAACTAGAAGCCTTTGATCCCCATCAGCACAATAACCAATCAGGTTGACAAGGTTAGGGTGGTGAAGAAGACTTAACATCAACACTTCAACAAGGAATTCTCTATTCCCTTGGAGCCCATTTCGGTCAAGTTGTTTAATTGCAACAATCTACATTCAACATTAGAAAGTATGAAATGTGTTGCCAAAACAAACTACATAGATTTAAATCTCATTCCATGCCACAAAACTCATAAGTGTTTACTCTGGCGGTCACAAAGCAACACAGGTGAGGGATGAATGATGAATAACAACATAAAAGGAAGCATTTGTTCATTTCCCTTAAACTCTCTCCTATTCTTCATAAACAGAAATTGTGAGAAACAGAGTCACCTGATTAATATTTTCCAAACGCCCCTTGTATACTCTTCCAAAGCCTCCCTCGCCCAAAAGACATTCGGCTCTAAAGTTTCTAGTTGCAGTTGCCAACTCACGGAATGAGAATGTCTGTGCAGCAATGTGATCAGTGTTTCCATTTTTAGAAGAATCTTTCGAATTTATGGATGCATTCCTCTTCAATTTCCCTACCTCAATT